CCCTCTTACACAAGGAACCTCTGCCCGGAATTACTACCTAGTAAAGTATTAGAGTTTCGTGGGCGAGGGGTCACTGAGCGGCGATCTTGCATATGTGGGTAAGAATCGCCCTTCGGAAATACTGCCCCATCGCCGGTACGGGTACTAGTAAGATTCAGTTCCGGTCCGATCGATCTTGTATTACTTTCAGTATTGTTCGACGGGGTTGCAGAGTAACAATGATTATATGATGTTATATCAGGACTTTGATTGTATACATTTACCCTGGAGTATTGTGCACAGTTATACACACTATACTTGTACCCTCGAATATCCAGGAACTTGACTGTAGTTTACTGATAGAAGTATTGTAAGTGCGTCTTACGCATAGTTGGTAATACGGTTGTAAGCGAGCTATGACCCCTCGACCTCGATGACGCGTCGCAACATGACAGAACCTGACTCGACAAATTCTCCGAGCCCGGCGCCTTGACTCACCTGCCACCTGCACTGTTCAGTTGCCTACATGACAAGTACGGCGACTAGATGACTTGACATAAGAGAAATCGTATATCTGTTCTTTGGAAGCTAAAATGGTCAAAGCAGCGTACACACCGCACGCCGAAACACAGATGAGAAACTACTACTCCTTCAGAAAAGACGGAGATCTCCGAACAAATCTACTATAGCACTTCCGATGGATCGGATGTGGTGTGGGAGTTAGTAATCGGCTCAGTCTGAGCCCGAACATACGAAGATGTTACCAACCGGCGAAAGAACAGTAATCTGATACGATCAAGCGGCAGAGTGCAAGTGCTTGAAAGGAAATATGACCGACGACTAGGCCGATGGCGATCATCCTTCCCTTTTTGGATTTCCCCTCTCCTACGGGGATAGTAACACATCTAACAAAAGGAGTAAAAGGTCAGCTCAGCATCAATTTTGAGCCGTGAGAAGTGCCAGGGGGGATGTGTAAAGTACGTAACATATCCATCGATCGTGGTTGGTTGGTCTGCCGCGGTGGACGGATTGCTGGACCCAAGGATCCATTGACCGTTTCGTTTCGAATTGAGTATAAATGCGCTCATTCAGGAAAGAGGGGCATGTGATTTAATTATTTACCCGGTATAAGCATGAGTTGAATCGTCCCCCGGAGGCTGTCTGGGTAAGAACTTGGGGAACATGCTATGATCATTGGCAAGCCTAAAGTAAGCTCCTTAGTATAGCTCAGCAATTGCCTGCCAATCACAGTCTCTTAATTGAGTTCCTGACTCGTGAATAGATCCCTTCAATTGGTGTTAGTAAATGTTCGAGGTGCCGTAGACCCGTGGGCAAGACACACCTGACTTTCCTGCAGCGGACGAGTCCTTGGAACCCGAGACCGGAGGGGTCAACTTCCATTACTAAGGATATCCCATGATGACAGCGAGCTACACACTCTGAATTGAACAATTGACATACTTATGGATGAGGCTCATGGTTCTTCGTGCACACCGATTTCCGAACCCTGGGCCTGTCGGCGCGGTTCGGTATTTAGTCTGACCTGAGCTCTCAAAAGGTAAGTCGGTGTAAAGCCTCGGTTGAACATGAAAGCAAGGAACGCACATGCTACGTTCTGAAAACCCAACGCAAGTGCGGCTCTGGAGTCTCTCGCGACGTACTGACTCCAGCCGCTGGGCTCCCTCTTCAGTAATGTAAGCTATCGGGTATTACTGGCTGGCCATGCGGTTCCTGGCATGTCGCATAACGAAAGACTAGAGGGCCTGGAATTCAGTACGGCGTGTTCAGGGCTGCTTGATATAGTTGGCTCGAGTCGCAGAAGCGCCAGTAGATATCATCACGAGGCTGTCTCGGAGGCTGTTCCACACTATGGCCCACATTCAAGGGAGAGACCAAAACTGTAGACTTGTAAAAATCTAGAAATTTAGCATCAATTCAGCAAGCGTAATGTTTCCACGGCGTTCGTCATTAGAAGAAAGTATGCGTCGGCACAGTTGTGAATTGATAAACGATGTTAAAGGCAACTTCTCGTACCTTTGCACTGAAGCCAGGGGTAAATCGGGATTAGGAAAGAGCATTTTCATGATGCTGTACATTCACCAGTATGCGCGAGGAAGCATCAGTGGAGCGATTTCTGTCGAAATGCGTTAAAGCATTACGTCGCAAACGGGGATACTCCCCTACTGCACACTGGCTACCGTGGCAGAGACGGGTGACTCTAATCAAAGCCCGAATAGTCCTTTAGCACTTTTCCGAGTAATCTTGGCTCGTTGCACGTTCCTACCAATTAGGTGAGCCTTGCTTAAACGCCTTGTTATTGACGCTTCGGTTATGCAGGATGGAACACCACGGGGCTAGGCTGTCAAAGCCTATTTATGAGGGGGTGATGCATCTTTCTCTGATGATCATCGTATTTAGACCTGCGTAAACGAATATTTTGACCGTCATCACAACGTCGATCAGAAAGACATAGATGGTCGGTAAAGCGGCCTTTGGTCACTATTGTTTACTATTAGTACTAGCAGCCCACAACATCCAGTGGAGTCTTCATCCACCCTGACGGATCAGAGCCACACGTTTGAGACAGCATCAGCGTTCGGTCAACATCTGCAACATTGCTACACTAACAACAGCTAGTGTGGCTGGCAAACCCTTGATCCTTGCAGAGATCTGTGGCTAGTGCAGACTAGTGGCAATAATATGTGGCTGGAGGAACTGCCCCGCCACGGTGGCAAAAGATGCCGTGGCTGTGATGTCGATCGCTGTGGCGTCGGGGTCGCCGTCTGGCCAGATTTGTTCGTTTGCTGTAGGTAGTATCGTGGGCGAAGATCTTTTATGCTATGTGAGCTAGAATGAGCTCAGTCGGCAAAGAACAAGCAGGTACCGATTGAGTCGGTCAGGGTGATATCCTTCCTGGGAATGGGTAAGGAGAGGGATACTCAAGAGTATAAATCGAACCGGCCAAAAGAAAGTTTCAGATACACGGCCGAACGGTAACTTACACCCCATGGAAAAGGTAAGAGTAAAAGAAAAACATGCATAACCCAAGTAAGCTCCGATCATCCCCTACATATGGTGTCCACCTCCAATAGTTGCCTGGAGGTTGTCGGCTCCGAGCCCTTATTTGCTTGCCCCAAGTGAGATGTCACACTTCCATTAGTTTCTCTCCGCTCAGGTTGCGGCCGCGCGACGGGTCAATTTTTGGTGGCAAAAGCGCATGCGAAGTCAAACATGAGCACAATGCATTATGCAGCTTTAGATTATCGAGCAGCCAATTGGACGGCCTGGAACTGCCATAGTGGATAGGATGAACGTGCTCGTGCATACATACTCTTTGTGAATTCCGGGAATTGGTGTGGTGACGCTGCCCCATTGATAGGTCGGCGGTAATTCGAAAAAAACCCAGAAGGAACAAATAGTTGCGAATTAAGGGGTCTCAACCTTGCATGGTTTCCAACCAGAATACTGTGCACACCAGGGTGGAAGTCATTGATATATTGGATGGACACGGTTGAACGTTCCTTTTTCAGTCAACACCCGGAATTGTTTTCCCTTGGAATCAGCCTCTCCTGGTTGACATGGAAAGTGGCCTCTACCCCAACGATACCGGTGTCAGACAACGCGGTCAACGGTTATCTCGCATTGACTCCGTGATGTGTTGTGCGGTAAGGCGTGCTAAGCGCACGAAATGCATTGGACAACTTTGATGTTGTAAGCACTTAACCTGTTTGGAGCCATGCGCATCGGGATCTAGAAAGGGAAAAAGCAAATGCCATCTCAGATCCACCAACGGTAACATAATAATCAAGCCACCGACCAAGTAAGCCACAGTGAGTTATGGTTCGCGGTGCAGAGATACGACCCAGCTGCATCGCACCACATTGTTTCGCCAGGTATCTGTCAAAGCCCGCCCGGAAGACGAATGCATATCACCTGCACCATGAGCATGGCGTCTCGTAAGCCGCAAGGTGTGAACAGCCGGTTGGTGCTTGTTTTGGAATGCTTTTCACACCGCTCATCCGGGGTTTCGTTTCTTTGCTGTCCCGGTTTCATGCTGTGGACATGCGTGCATATGTTGCTATCGGGGCCACGGGTTGCTCTACTGGAGAGTAGCATGTTACCAGCTGTGCCATATCCCAGATCTCAGTCAGGTTAGGTAGAGTAGCTGATACATCAGTCGAGTAATTTCTTCTTTCGCCGCGCATAAATTCTTCTGCCTGTATCAGCTCAGCTGGGATGCGAGCTGGCCGAATAAGGAAAATTATCAATAGAGCCTGGCCAAAGGCGGGACGTCATCACCGCATCGACCTTACCAATGGTGTAGCTCGACCAGTAAGGTGCAGAAACGGCCTCGCTATTGCAGTGAGTGGATCTGGGGCTGGTGTCAAGAAGGCCGCGGCGTCACGGAGTGGCAAATTTCGTGACATTAGCTTAGTTGAGCTGGAAGGCAGCCAGGCGGGCCCTATAGTGTGATTGATTAACAAAGGCTCGGTGATTTACTGGTGGCCTGAAACCACTTGAAATCGAGTAATTCATGCTTTCTGGTGAGACGCCGAAGCAGTTCGGAAGTGATAGTTGAATCAGGGAACCCCGTCCACGAAGCTCGCACGGGGAGGGAGAAGTGAGAAGAAGGAAGTCAGTGATCGGGGACCACAACCTTACCGAGTGCCCGACCGTATGGTACATTAATTACCATACCTACTTACCCTTGCCAGCAAGCCCTGTGAGAGTTGACCTGCATGACTGAGGGTCAGCTGGCTGTCTCGGTCTTACTCTTCCTTTCGTCGGTAGTCAGGTCGGACTTAATTCTGCTCGGCATTTTCTGGTTTACACCCAATTTTGCATCAGAGAGTATCATTCGAGCTTCCCGATACTCTGCATGAAGGATGTCAAGACTAAAGTAATGACAAGGTCATTGTCGTAGAGAGGCCACGAAGACGTCGAAGACCAGTCCTGCGCCTGCAGGTGTTTCACGCAGACGGTCAATTGGAGTCGTCGTCGATGGCCAGCTCATCATCTTACATGAATTGGCAGGTCTGATCCCTAATACTGATCCGTGGATTATTACAGATTCACTATGCTACTGCTTGCGCCTTCCGGGACTTCACAGAATAAGGCAATGGTGTGAGAGATAAGAATGCTGATTACAAGACCTCATAGTCAATAGAGGAACACCAATTGGCAAGCATAAAGAAGAAAAAGAAAAGAATAGAATAGCACAGCAGGACGGCATTGAGCTGTCGATGCTGTACCCCGCTAAACTTCAACATGCATTAGCACAGTAATTCCTCCTTTTGCATCTGTCGGTCCAGCTGCCAGGCGACTTGGACTCGAAGGGTTCTAGACAGGAAAGGCAAGGGAAATCAATCATTATCACACAGATGATAGTCCAGGGAAGGGGTTCCTGACCGCCGCATATACTACTAGCACACGAGACTATGGGAACGCCACTTACACCGCATCCTTCGCGAAGATGAGCGATGCGAACCGGGATACTGAAGCTGAAGCTGAAGGGTTCGTTGGGTTGATGATACGGCAGTGCCAAGGACACATGGCTGACAGGACGGATGATTGGTGATGGGGAAGTCCCCGGAATTCATCGCCATTCAAACTGGCCATCTTGGACCCGATGAACTGGGCACCGTGTGATCATCTGGCATGGATGGGGATGATTGTTACCGACCACGGTAACGTATGGGGCTCGGGAAAGGGCTGGTACCGTCAGCATACAGCGGCAGATACTGGGTCGGATTATGATCGGGGATGGACGATCTCACGTCTCGCACAGTTTCCCTCTTTCTTTTCCCTTTCCTTATATTTCTTCTTTGCTTATATTTCTTCTTTGCGGTACCCTGGTAGAATTCATCTTCATGAGACTTGATCGTCCAGCCCGGGCACTCTGCTCGACTACACGGATATCCAACCGCAGCGTGTGAAGGACGTCGCCGGCATCCCACTGCTTACCCAACTGAGCCGGGTGCAGTTTCAAAGGCGATGCAGCTCAAGATCTGACCGCTGTCGAAGCCACCGATTGAGGGATACTATTACTCTTACTACACCACCGCTAAGAAGCCGAAACGTAAGTACTTGAGACTATGTGCAGCTGCACGGATATCTTTCGATCTGAGCGACGGGCCTATCAGCATTTTTCCGGGTCCACAGGCCCAAAAGGACACGCGATGACCAGCGCTTTTTGCCATCCGCTAAGGGCGGAGCTGCTAGTAAGGTACGGGGCACCACCACCACCCTTCCCTACACTAGTCTGCCCTCCCTTTCCCGGGTTCAGATGGCCGTACCTGGTTTTTGCCTTTTTTTATGGGCAGGGGAAAAACAAGCGAATCATTAAATCCTACCAGTCTTGTCATTTTGATGTAACGAAGCTAATACATGATTTTTCCACATAAATTTTTTTTATTTCAATTTTATTTAGTTTTTACCTTTTTAAATCTATCAATTTGTTTTACTTACTTTTTTATGTGTATTTTTTTTATATTCTTAAACCTTCTTCATAACCATGATCGGGTATGCGCTGTGATGGATTACCACGGGTAAGAGTCCGCTTAGAACTAAACCAAGTGTTGCCCTGTTCCCAACGGACCACTGCCTAGTTTGGGGGTGGAGGGTTTAGCACTGGGATTTATTGCTTGCTGCTCACTAAAAAATCATTATTGGCTGTGGCCTAAAAAAAAATATTCCATCAACCCGAATTTAACTTGTAAAAAGAAAGAGGGGGGGGGGGGGGGGAAATATTAATATTATAAAAGGAAATATTAAATGCCAAAAACGAAAGATAAAAATAAAAATAAAAAAGAAAGTATCAGAACCTTCTTATTTATATGATACAGTTTCTCGAGAACCACTTCCTCTTTTTTCACTTCCAGTCCAGCCCAACCCAAACCGAGAAGTTGACCGATACTGCCTGCGTGACCCTATCGGGTACACCCGTTCTGGTTCTAGTCGCTCGTCAGGTCCCAAACAATATACAAGACTACTTACGTCCACTTGCCAGCGCTGCTCCGCAATCTGACTCTTTTTTCTCCTTCGGCCGTTCCATTCTCAATTCACTGCTTCTTCCTTTCTTTGGGTCCGAGGATTTATGTATGTCGCATACCCCCCGTTTCATCTCTTCAATGGACTCTCTTTCTATAAAGCCTCCCCCCCTCCAACTACCTCATCCACCCGCTCTCTCTTTCCCCTCCTTGGCCTCGACCCATGCTCTGTCATGAGCTGTGTCTGTCTCCCCTCATAAATGGAATCACGCTTAGCAGATGTCCATGAATGAATCTCACTCGGGTAGAGGACTAGGTTTTGCGATCAGGACTCTGTTTCGCTCCTCCCCATCGCCCTCCCCGACTCCTACCCCGCGACATCGAGTCTCTCTCCTCCGTCGAGGTCGGAGTATATTCTCCAACAGGTACGGTCTCCATTGACTTTTCAGTCACTTGAGTCCCATGACGCTTGCTATTTTTACCCCATATTTTGCTATGGGGCCGTTCACTTCACTGTTCCCTTCATCTCCGGCTTCAATCGCTCCGTTGGACAAATGTGAAGACAAACCGTTGTGAAGCAAATGACTAAGTCTCTTTTCTGAGCAGGAACCCTCGAAACCCGAGTAAACATTCGTCCGAGTCCCCAATGCATGACTTCCAGCAGTTTAACTCGGCTGCGATGGTGGGACTTGCCCAAGCGTCTGCAGGCGACAACTTTGACATCTTCCAATGGCACCCTCGATACCAAAACTGCCAGCGATACTTCCTAGATCATGCGCAACACAGCGATGCGGTCCAAGCACTTTCCGCTTTTCTGAACATTCGTCTCCCATTTCAATGGCAGTCGAACCCTGTCGTAAATTCTCACGCCGACCCATCACGATCCGCCGCTAGCCAGTCCTCTGCATCCTCACCTGCCTCGAATCTACCTCCCTCTGTTTCATTGATTCCATACATCCGCCGCCTGGTGGCCACGGGAATGGATTTCCCTGGCGTGTTACATGGGTTTTTCGGAGACGAATGGGGTGCGGGCATTGGACCTTTGCACGAGCAGGAACGGCGCAATTACCTCTTCGCCGCGAAGAGTGGTGGTTGGGCGGCCGTGAAAAAGGATTACGATATGCCTCCGCTCGAGACAATTCCGTTCCTACGTCCCTTACAGGGACCGCTAGATTCGGAGATTGAGGCGGCGGAGCGGAGTTGGAGCGAATGGCTTGCCATGGAAGACTGGATGGTTGGGCCTCGAGCGCCTGACATTCTTCGAGACTCATCCTCACAAACTTCACGACATCACAGCTCACGAGGGTAATAAATCATTATAGGGTGCTCGGGCTTTTCTTTTTCTGTCTTTTCTTTTTATTCTTTTCTGCCGCCTTTTGCTATTTGGCTTTTTCTGTCCTATTCACACTGCTTTAACCCAACACTAGCCACGCTGGCGGTAGCACGGAGTTGGTGAGTCTCATAGCATGAGATAACGATCATACGATATCTTGAATCATGAGCGCGATAGACATCGCAGGTCCACATAATGGTGTTCCGGCTTCAATTATTGAGGGAGCCGTGCGAACACCTCGCAAGGGGCCAAAGATACCATACCACAGAACAACAATTGAAATAAAACATCCGAAAAGATTCAGTGAAACCAATTAATCAATCAAACATTCATCCCTTCTTAGCCCCTATTCAGCCATGAACGCGTTATCCAGAAAGGAAAACCTGCTTCAGGTAGAGCAGGTAGGGTACCTGACAGTCCCACCGCCACCCCCCTGCGCGTCGGGTAGCAGCTCCGATAGTCATGACGATAGATAGAACGGAGTTCACCTTGATAACTAGTCAAGTCTACTACGCTAAGTAACTAAACTAGTGCCAGTCCGGTCAGGCCTCCACGAAGCTGAGCCCTTTTTTTCTTTCCCTTACAAACCTCTGATGCCTGAAACGGCGCCACCCCTGACACCAACGCCATCCGACGGACCGCGACATTAGCCCGGAGATCATCATCCTCCCCTGTAGGACATAACTCGCCTACATCACACTATCCCCATAAAAAAAACTTACTCACATACGAAGTAAGTATCACCTCCGTAGTACTCCGTCAACAGAGTACTTTGTAGTTATATCCACGATTGCCGATGAACCCGACCGAGCCGCGCCCCACCGGTTCCTCACTACCTATCACAGTGATCTAGTCTATCCAACGGAACTCCCGATATGGTACGGCTACATCTCCTACCACCTGCAAATAACTAAGAAATCATTTATCCATATCCACGTTGGTGGCTTACCAAGCAAGTCAACCGACGGCCAACTGTAGATGGTTCCTAAGTGTTGTCTGGCTATCAGCCGTACCAAGATAAGTATGTCCCACGATAAAGGAGAGACTAGGAAACATCGCCTAGTAAGGAAGGTAGGGCAGGGCAACCACACCATCTTTCGATACCGATATACCCGCTCCCACCACCGCCCATTCAACCTTCATCCCCACATTTATCTACCGTGGAAAACTCAACTCGAGTGAGAATGGGGGAGGGTGACGGTTATGATGGCTAGCTGAAAACCAACGTCAACGACCCCCTTTTACTAATCACTTACTTACCGAAGTTTGTATTGAATTTTAAGTGATGTTGGTTGTGGTTGCCTAACAGCAAACACAACACACAACACACATATTAATTCATATATATGTACCATGTACTATGTTACTATGTATGTATGTAAGATCATTCAAATCCCGAAACCCAACTTAGCATGAAACAGGACCGAGCGCAAACTACTTAGTGAGTTACAGAGTAAGTAAGTAAGTAAGCAGGGAAGAAAGGGGGGAGGGAGGGAGGGAGGGAGCCGCTATGGATGAAAAAAAAATAAACTTCTTCTGGAGTTTTCGATGGGGATGCCGGGAGTGGTAGTTTGTGGCGCGGCTGAAGGGCGGGGACTTGGACTGGAATGGACTGGGAGATGTGGAAACTATAGTAGTATCTATGTAACTAACTACGGGGGGAGATGGGATGGGAAGTGGAGTGGATACTGGATAGGTAGGAGTTGGGTTAGGTTAGGGTAGGTTAGGTTAGGTTAGACTAGACTGGTTGTACGTACTCGTCTTTCAGTATGGGAGGGATGCTGTGGTTGTGTTGAGTTGTGTTGTGTTTGTGTGGGATGAAAGGGTTTGGGTGGGAGAAGATTATGGATTGAATGTAGTGGTGGTTTATGCTACTAGTTACTATTAATTTTGTATACTTATATACATAACTACAGTCTGTGGACAGTGAGAGTGTGAATCTCATATATACTTCGTTTAGCGCGACGATGATGTACCTTTTGAGTCGAGGAGACAAAACCATATGGTATTAACGCCGGAAATGTCTCGGATTACGGATTTATTATTTACCTCACTACTGTATTTTTTGACATGATACATGACTTACATTACTGTCATCCGGTATTGATGCATCGGATCTGTCTACCTTACTAATCGGGATTAGTAGCTGATGATTAGTACCGTGTATTTCATAGGGCCTAGGTACCGCTTATAGTATGATGTATGTTATTCTATATCCAGAATGTATGTATAAATGTCATCTTCATTCTTGTTGGCAGTACGGATGTAAATCAACTTTGTCATTTTCTGTCAAGCGCAGAGGCCATGCTAGCTTGCGTGCAAAATTTTACAATCTTCCTTGTTATGGGAGTAGATAGTATGACAACCAAGGTCATATTCTTTATTCTAGGCTCTCGAAGATTGCGAACGAGATGGGGAAGGGTACAAGATCAGCTAGGCACAGAAACAAACAATGTCATACCCCTCGAACGAGTCCTCGCCAACACAGATGGACTGCGTCAACTAATGTTGAGATATGATCTTGAACGACAAGTCCGATGATGAACTGATGTATAAAGCAGCATACCAATACAGTAGCACATCTCGTTCCATCCGGTTGAACCACCACCATCAAGGCAGTACTTGGGAATCAATATCCTTACCGAACGCGCGAGCCCCCACAAACTCACGGCTGCACAAAATCGATTGCTCTGTGGATTGTGGCACAGCGTCCAATACCCGGGCAATCCGCGGACCGCTCATTCTCTGGGTGACCTCCGGATTGGAGGGAAGGAACAGCTTCTAATATCCCATAAAGTCACGGATATCATTGAAGAACGGGGTTGCTGTCAGCAACAGAATGAAGTGCGCCTTTAACCAAGAGCCAGTCAGCAACTGCCCCGAAGTCGGGTTTCTCAGAATATAGGCTTCATAAAAAATCACCATATCAAAAGACGTGTTAGATCCAGTGGGCAGTTTGTATGAGCACGGAAATAAACACCGCTGAATGGTCTCCTTTTGACACAAAGGCTGGGCTCTATACCACAATGTTGAGCGAGATGAAATCAACGTCTAGTGACTCTGTGTCATCGACTTAACAAAATAGCACTTATAGATGAACTGGCTAGACACATTATTGCCAGGTTTGCACCGCTCAGTAAAAGCAGCTAAGTGAAGCATGGCCATGTCTCTGAGCTGCAATATTTTCTCTGGAGCAGCTCTTCACGCTTGCTGCGAAGTTTTCGAGCAGATCTGCACAATTGCGGACTTTCTCACAACTGCCAGCAGCTTTTTGTCCTTGTAAGCAGTTGGCGATTTATGGAGGAAGCCATTCCTCGCAGCTCCAGCCCTATAAAGAGTAAGTACTGTGAAGCTTTAGCATCATTACCCATATTGGATTACTTACATATCCGCAATTAGCAGCAAGCAAAACCTGTGTTGTCAGTTCTCCGTACACTCCTGTATTTTTGACTCTCATCAGTCTCCTTGCGGTACCATTGCCCCAGTGCTGGAGAGAGTTAGTCTGGGCTTAGATGCAGCGTACAACCATACGTTCTTTAACACCAACGCCCAGTACAGATCGGTAAACTTCAGGTAGTCGGTTCGCCGTTACCTTAAGCTCGGTCATAGTTGTTCGTCAAAATAAGCGCTGATATTCACAGCTTCTCTTTGACACAGCGCCCTGGTAGCAGCGAAATAGTTCTTTAAGCCAGTAACTTCTAGGCCGCTTTTGCAATGTATTTCGAGGTGTCTGAATACCACACCCAATTCACTATTGAGACTGTGTCCTTCCCGGCGCTGTCGTCCCCGAAGTAGATATTGTGGATGATCTTATCGCTGCCCATCGTAAGGGGGCCTTCCCCAGCCTTTCCATAGACTCGTTCCTCTGCTGTTGTGTCAAAACAATCGCGAAATATGAGTCCCTTGACTGAAGAAATCCGGTCACTGTTCCAGCCAGTGTTCTTGAAATAAACTGCTCGCGGGCGGTTATAGTCGAAGCCGGACTGGTCTCCATGGTTTTAGGTAGAGTAAGATATATCACCCTGTCCTCTGCTGATAACCTCTTTTAATTCACTTTTAAGAAGCGGAGAATCGTGTACCCAGTTCCTAATTCCCCAACCGAGGCAACGCGCGGTTGTATCTCCTTCTCGTAGTATCACAAACCAAGCCGTGGAAATTATGCAATCTGTGTTAGGCGATGCTGTGCTAGGAAAGGCAACAAACAGGCATAAAGCCTAGGAGAAGATGAAGCACATGTGGCTAGTTCCTGGCATTTCCTCAATTGCTCAACCGAGGTTAGTTTATACCCTTAGCACGTTTTTATAGATTTTTCTAACCATAGCTCGTACCAACTCCTACATACTAGCACTACCTGTGTCAGGTCATGCTGTGACAAGCAGGCCAGAAAACAAGCACGAGAATTAACTCTCCTGGTAGACGATAGAAATAGATTCCATATAGGATGCGCCGTGATCAATCTTCCAGGTCGAGTACACTGGCTAATAATCTCATCATCGCTCAGCTAGTCAGTCCACGTAGATCGGATCTGTCCTACTTGCAAAATTCGAATGCGACCATCCAATGTCTGTCGTAAGCTGCCACTGGGGTATTCGCACTGGAGACCAGCGGTCACGGTTATATCCGCATACGCAGTATCTTCGCACCAAATACATCCGTCCATTATATGAAATGGGCAGCCAGCCAGCCAGCCAGCCAGTGGTCCGAGGAGCCACAGAAGATAGGCAGTGCTGCATGCCGTTCAGTCCGTTTGTCAATTCATGTCTGGTCTGCGATAGAAGAGGATCAGTGGGATCAGTGGCTTTTCCAGGTGGTTTCCATTTTCTTGTGGCGAAAAGAGTACAGTGTTTGTCAACAACGAGGACTGCCGCAATTCCGTACATCGTTTGAACAGTGAAAAGTGGTAGTATCCTCTGACTTCACCCTGTCTTTGTGAATTTCCTACGCACATATTCCCTTCAGTATCTGTCGCTTTTTTGGACGTTCTGATCTTTCTGATATGGTCGCTCTGTCAATGTAGGGTTGTGTTCGGAAACCGCATTTGCTTCGACCACGATGACTTCGTGGACATATATACGGTTCTGATGGATGTCGCTGACAAGTACGTTCGCCTGTTCCTCATGGGCTGCCTGTGGGTGAAGGACTCTCGCTCTACATCACAGGTAGTAGCAGATCGAAAAAGTAGTAAGTACAAAGTGCTGTTTTGAAGAGTGGAACATAATGTATGCTTGGGAGCCCCGGTAAGTTTCGTGGATATACCCTGTAGTGATCCACGTCTTTTTTGTTGTTGGCCGACATGTTTCTCACTATCTCCCTGATTACCTTGTTGTCTTGTCAGGTAGTTATAGCTGGATTGTTTGGATACCAAGTTGAAAGAGTCGTACTGTTCTGGCCAGTCCATCGCGCTGCAAGGTTGATTCTATGATATAGTGTGTATGTTTGTGCCACCAATCAAGAGGTGTAGCGCCATTGTATGCATATGTCTTCCAAAATGACGAATGCCCAATCTAGTACTTGAGATGTAGTCTGACAGCTCTGTCACCCCATATAAATGAATTCAAGATTGTAGATGCAACACTTACGTTCAGGAGAGAGATAATTTGTGTCTCTGCTGGAACGAGCCATGAATGCGCAAGAGCAAGGATACTTGAACCCAGTGACGCCTGGATTAGATCCCGCATTTCTCTGAGCTAGTATTTTCCTATTTCCATACCACGTTAGTTCCTGGTAATGATATCGATGTTCATACAATCGACCAATAAGCCAGGCACACAATAGATTCGTTGCCTGTTTGCGCTTGGTCAGGGGTTTGTTCTCTCATATTCATCAAGCGACGTAGTGAACACTTTCTGGTGTTGATCTTCCACGTCCACTGTGATACCTGGCAAGGTTGCTGCTGCACATGAGTTGCAGCGGCTGTAGGAGTACATCATAGTTAAAGGCGTCGTCTGCGGCATTACGTGGCCCAACTCGAGGTACAGAAGCCAAACTAACTGCAGGCGAGCACGATACAGACTATCAGTCTGCCTATCAACTGGTACACGCAGGTGGCAATTTTCCAGCTGATGTGGACTGTAAAAAAGGACCATCGGTTTGGAGATTATCGCCGGGATCAATCGTCCGCACGCATTTATCCGATTCGGAGCGTGCCATATCAATATTGAGGGCGATTGTACACAACCAGCAACCCAATTAATCGGTATCTAGGGCTTTCTGCTGATCTTAGGCCACCCTCGCGAAGAACGGCGAACCTAAAGTAGCCGCTTCCACACTCTGTGCAAACAAGTCCAAGCCGTTCGCATAGCAGACACGTGTGGTGATTCTTGTCCACTTTCTTGGTCTCCTTGCTGGCGGCTGTATCCTGACACTGGGTGTTCAATGGGAACAACAGCAACGAGATTGGGCCTTGAGACATTCTTCGATGCTTGTTGAATGGCGTCCCACCCAGTGCTCTCGAGATATCCCTCTTCTTGCCGACCGACTTTGTTAGGGCGACATATACAACCCGTTGGCATTCTCCAACCTAGCTTCCAGGTAATCATGCGCATCTGTCCAACCTTAGCATTCCCATGCACGCGCAGTAAGTATATCATCCGCATAAGTCGTCGATTAGAGAGAGGCACGCCGTCTCGAGGGCATAAAATCAACCACCGACGGATGGCGCAAAGGTAGTAGTGGCTTAGGAGCCACATTGTACAGCGGGAGTAAGTGTATAAACCAAAACTCATACCCAGCCATCAGTAGACCACCGAACTTGACTTTGCGGAGTGGCCTCACCATCTCAACGACCTCGTTCCACGCAAATCTATATCCACGGTGCTGGCGCCATCGACTGTACCTCCAATGCGTTGGAGGTTTCTCCCGTTCTGTTGTAGTCCGGTCACTCAGGGGCTCTGTAGGGTTTCTTGCGGTCTCTGGCCGCTTTCCCCCTGGGATCCGTTCGTTTTGTTGGCATGATGATTGCCACGTTACTTGGTCTTCTGCTTTTCCCCCTTTCCTTCTGAGATGCTGTCTGCGTGGTGGGAGACAGTGATTTTTCTTCAAGTCTTCGTAGTCTATTTGAGGGGGAAAAAAAAAGACTGATAGAAGGCAAAACGGTGTATGGGCATCTGGGTTGAAGATCGTGAGACATGCCCGCATCTTGTTCGGGCTTTCTCCAGAGCACAATCGATAGCTTGACATGATGGTAGTGACTCGTTGTCTGTCATGACGAGGAAGTTTTCTGTGGCATTCTTAATCGGGTTGTAGGGCGAGACACCAAGCAAGTGCAGTAATGGCTGGTAATCTTCATGGTTCGGTTACCTGAGACTGGAGCATGAAGTGCACAGTATAAACTGTCGTTAGTCTGCCAATGGTGGGAGCAACAGGGCCCGCAGGCAATGCCACAGTCGTCCGCCATGCAAGTTGACCTGTATTCTGGATATACCCAGTTGAAGAAAGTTACCGGATAATGGGTGAGTAGTAACCGGTTGGCCACAGATGCTTGGTGGTTCATCGAAGAGAAGGTGCCGCGCTGGACCTCGGTGGCCTTGTTCAACTCTCCCACATTGGCGACGACGTACATGGCTGCGCGGGCGCGGCTGATGGCGACGTTGAGGCGACCGCAGTGCTTCTGGTGGCCGGGTCCGTCGGTGGCGGTCGTGTCGTACAGCACCACGCTCGCCTCCCCGCCTTGGAAGGAGTCGATGGTCTTGATCAAAACAAGATTGTATCCGGCGGAGGGGTCCTCAAGATGCAACTGGGTCAGTGACGTGCGGTACGCGTTACCCTGCGCGGTGTAGGGCGTCAGGATGGCGACCTCCGAGAAGGGGACTCGCGCCGTCTGCTGCAGACGGCGGAGGCACAGGACAAAGTGCGGGAACAACCAGTTAAGTTGGGATATCAGTTGGCACTCTGATGTGCGTGAAACACGTGTTCGGGCTTCATACAGCTTGATGCCATATATGTAGGGTTCGTTGATATCTGAAGAGCTCAATAATTGGGAGCTAGTTATGACGTTGTGCCAGACAATGTTGTTGTTATCAGCGGCCACATTACCAGTACTCTTATATCTTGACCATGAAGCAGGGCATGAGCAACAAGCACAGAGTGAAATGTCTTGAGGAGCCCGTTTCTTCTTTTCATGGGGATTGCGCCCTGTTGGCGGGCGTGTTGCTGGAATTCTAGTAGCAACGGGTGGTCGACTGATTAATGTAGTTTACATGTTTCGAGCCACTTCCATGGCCAATTGACCAGACACTTTGTCGCATGCATCATGGACGTGATGCTCTGAGAAGACAAATGTCGCATCTTCTGATAATTTCCGTTGTTTTCGACGAGCATCGCGTGTGTACTTCTGGCTTTCTGAGTCTTGTTGAGCATGAACCAGGTTGATAATACCTGTAATATGCTCTGTCCTCCAGACGAGATTAACCTCGTCCACGTCGCGTGAGAGAAGAATAAGTAGACCTGGTGGTCATGCAGACACAGACTGCCCTAGTGCGCAGGAGGCCCGCGAGGTTCCGTCATTGTGTGAAAGGCTAATGTCACGTCTATTCAGTGGCAGTAGATTTTCCAGGGCAGTTTGCAATCATTGATCGTTTTGATCGTAGATAAATGTTCCTGCTAATGAAAGCCAATAGGTTCAATCTGGTGCTGATGCTAGGGACACAGCGTTTTATATTCGTCCAGATCTTGCAGGTCTCGGTCTCGGTCTCTCAGCTTCATTGTTGTATATGGGTTACTTTATCAGCATCGGCAGCAAAGCTAGGGATGTGGGAGTATGACGATCCGTTCTAACTCTGTCTCAGTGGTGATGGCATGGAGGTATTTATTTTGCGCACAGCCCTAAGCAGTCGTCTGTTGATGATCCCACACAATCGTTTCAGTTATGTTCCATGCATGCCGTTCTATGGTCTATGACACACATGAGCCTTCTCTTCAGCTTTGAGAGTACCACATTAAGCATGGTCACGGACCTTAGAGAGAGTCGGTTCGTTAGTAGTATCGCATCTCAGATATGACACCCGGTGTGGTTCGTTTCTCTCCATCATAGGGGACTACACCCAATAGACTCCGAATATATCAATTGAAGAATTGGAGCAATAGGTATCAACTGTGCAGGTATGGGTGTAATAAACCGCTGCAGGTCGGACGGTCTCTGGGTGCCCGTCAAGACTGACCATGCTGTACTCCATGTCGGGCCTGAACACCCACGCATGGAGCCGGATCTCGCCGAGAAGAGGTAAGCTCGGAGGTCTTGACGAAGGAACTGCTGCCCCAACCCAACTTGGAGGTTGCTAAGGACCGGTTCACTGCTCTGGTGGTTGCTGTGATGCTCATACACTAGCACTTCCTTCTCAAGATAATGGAGAACGTTCTTCACCGCCATGTCCTGAGGGCAAGTTGCTCGCATTCGATTTGGGTATTATGGAAGACATATGCGAACACGACTTTGGCTCTCTGACCGATCCGATGGCACCGGCCAGACACCTGTTTGTGGTTCTTACTGCACCAGTCGGTCTCCATCAAGATTACATGTGCGGCGCGGGTAAGCGTCAGTCCGCGCGAGGAGGTGCCAGTTATACCAATATAGATTCCTGGAGCGCGCGCAGTCCGGCCCTTGTGTTCGAACGCCTCTCCCATCAGCAGGTCCTAGAAGACTACTACCCAGGAATACCGGTCCGCAGTAGCCACCAGAGCTAGGTGTGGAAAGTATTAAAGGTAATATATAAGAATTACCTGGCAACGTTAGACTGGTCCCTGGTATATAGCCTGAGGATTATAGCAGAAAAAGGAGACGGAAAAAAAAAGAAGAAAAAAAGAAAAAAAGAAAAAAAAGACAAAAAAAAAAAAAAAAAAAAAAAAAAAAAAAAAAA